TTCCCTAGCTCCCCTTTTTTCCTTAACCCCCCCCCCCCCCTTTTTAACCCCCCTTGCCCTAGCCCCCCTTACCCTCCCTTTCCCTAATCCTCCTTTTCTCCTCCTTTCCCAAATCCCCCCTTTTCCCTAACGCCCTTTTCTTTCCCCGCCAGGAGACAAAGCCTTCGCCCAGTTCCTGACGGATGAGATCAAGGAGGAGAAGAAGATCCAGAAGCACAAGTCCCTGCCCAAGGTCTCCGGGGGTTGGGAGCTGGAGGTCCACGGCACGGAGGCCAGGCTGGTGCGGAAGATCGCCGGGGAAAAGTGAGTGGGATTTGGGAATGGCCCATTCCCTGTGCCTGGGGGCAGGTGGATCACAGTGACCGGGGTTCTCCATGTGCTCGTGCCCTGAAGTGGATGGTGCAGAGGCCCTTCATTTTACTGCTTTGGGCAGAGGCCCTTCATTTTACCACTTTTTTTCCCCACCAGTTTGTTGCTGTATTTTGTGTTACAAAGTTTCACAGGGTCTTCCCGCGTTAAAAATAACAGTTCAGGAGAACTTGGAAAAGGTTTGTGAGAGCACTTGGTGGGAGCAGCTTCTCTCCCAGGTGTGTCCTTACCTGTTCACACTGTGTGAATTCTGAGCAAAAGCTTCAAGTGCCCACTCTGATGGGTGGGGTTTTTTGTTCAAACGAAGTGTTTCTGTTTCTTTCTGAAGGATAACGGTTACATTCAACATCAATAACAGCATTCCACCCTCGGCTGAAGACGACACACAAGAAGGGCAGAAACCTGATGAGCAGGAGGTAACTTAACCTTGATGTGCACTTTAGTGAAGGGGACAGAGGAGAGTTGGAACCTTTCCCTCAAGTGTTGAGGCTTTTTGCCCCCCTCACTTGATATTTGGGAGCATTAAGCCACAAAATGCAGGTTTTTCAGGCCCACCTGTCACTTGGCTGTGACCTTCCTCTCTGCTGCAGAAAGTCAGAGCAGGGTGAGAAGGCTCTACAAGGAGAGATTTAAGATGCTCTGAGACCTTCTAGCACCTTCTAGTGCCTAAAGGGGCTACAGGGGAGCTGGAGGAGGACTTTGGACATGGGCATGGAGCGACAGGATAAAGGCTTTTAACTGACAAAGGGCAGGGTTAGGTGGGATATTGGGAAGAAATTCTTCCCTGTGAGGGTGGGGAGGCCCTGGCACAGGTTGCCCAGAGACACTGTGGCTGCCCCATCCCTGGAAGTGTTCCAGGCCAGGTTGGATGGGGCTTGGAGCAACCTGGGCTAGTGGAAGGTGTCAGGGAATAATCTCTGCTGGATGGGCTGTGTGGTTGTGCTGTGATTGCATCAGCTCCTCTTCAGATTCCAGTGCTGATGCAACTGTTCTCTTTTTTTAGCCTGAACTTACATCAACTCCAAACTTTGTTGTGGAAGTAATAAAGGATGATACAAAGCAGACCCTTGTTCTAGACTGCCATTACCCTGAGGATGAGGTTGGTATCACTGTGTGTCACCTCTGGGCTGGGACTTGCTCACATTTCCTGCCTGACTGTGGTGTAGCTGTGCCCCTGTTGGGGTCTAACTGGTCTTTGTAGTCTCTTGCTTTTCTGAATCTGCACAATAATGCACTCTCCTCTTATCTCTGTGGTTTTTTTAATCACAAAAACAAAGGCTTTATGTTTGCAAGACCACTGTTTGGAGAGGAGATGTTCCATGGCATTCCTCACATCCTGCCCTGGTGTTTCTGATCAACTCCTTGTTGGGCTGTTTATTGAACTACATTAGAGCAGGGAGGCAGGGCTGAAATCATGGCAGCTTGGGAGGGGTGAGCAGGAATGGCCAAACCAAGAGATTTAATACACTGTACCAGTAACTTGCCAATCAGTGTTGTGAGATGTCACAAGGAGAAGAAGGGATTAAAAAGAAAGGTGAGAAGAAAATAAAACTGAGAGCTTTTGTTCACACTGAACTTTGTGGTTTGCTTTGTAAATGTTAATGGGTATTTCTGCAGCCAGTCCTGGCTGACAAAGGTGAGACAGATGTGGGAAGACAGATTTAGAACCACAGAGGTTTTTATTTGTTTGTAAAATTCAGGCTGTTGATTTACACCAGGTTGCTTCTGGCAGCAGGAGCTCAAGGAATTCCCTGTGTTCTCCTGCATGGCTGTGCTTGTCCTCACAGGCACGTGTGGAGAGGGGAGAGGCACAGCTTGTCTGGCCCTGGGGGTTTTCCTGTGGTATTCCCAGCCTTGGGATGAGGTTGGCTGAGCATGCCCAGTCATTAGAGCTAGTTGTGTGTCACATCTCTTCTCCCGTTCCAGATTGGCCATGAAGGAGAGGAGGAAAGCGATATTTTCACCATTCGGGAGGTCAGTTTTCAGCCCACTGGAGAGTCCGACTGGAAGGACACCAACTACACCCTCAACACGGATTCCCTAGACTGGGTAGGTGCTGCTGGCAGGCTCCAGAGGGAACTCTGTCCCTTGGCTCCCGAGCTGGGAATGAAAGTGGATGTCTGAGAGAAGGATTTCCCTGTTCTGCCCAACTTCCCGTGGGGTGGTGCTGCTGCAGACTGGGGGTTGTTACCTGGTCCCATGGCACTGCAGTGCTGGTGACATTCCAGACACAGACACGTGGATTTCCTTCTGCTCCAGGCTTTCTAGGCTGATTTCATACTGGAGATGCTTTCACACTTGCTCAGCATCTTCTGATCCTTGTGTTTAACTTATATTTGTTTAACAATGTAGCTTATCAGATACCATGTGTAGATAAAGGCATCTGTGGGGGGTATCTCATAAGCTTCATTGTGTCCTGGTTTTCCAGGTGTGTTGTTACAGTTGTAACACTAAAAATTAATATCTCCAAGAATATGGCATCTGCTTATGTTGTCGATGCCAGGCTTTCAGAAGCTTAAATTGTTAGTTTGTGGCTGTCTGTTAAAATAAGTTAAAATACAGTTAAAACTTTATTCCTGGAGTGTATCCCTCTGGGAAGCACTGGTGTTAAAACTGGTTAGTGTGCTCTAGAACATCCCACACTGCTTTTTCTTTTCCCCTCTCTGGCAGAAAATGAATCAAAAGCGTGTATGAAACAGAAAGAAACAAAGTTCATGACTGTAAAGGGCTTAGGCATTTCAAACAAACATTTACATGAGGTACCACCTTTCCACAGTGTTAAGCAGTTCACCCCCAAGGCCGTGGCTGTGTGTGGAGGGACAGGCAGAGCTTGGCCTCTGTAATCCTTGACAGACTCACCTGATGGCTCCCAAAGTCTGTGGATCAGCTTGTTTGTAATGTTGTGTTTGGGTTTATTTGACCTGTTCCATGGCACCTTCCCTCCAAATGTTCCACTCAAGGCCAGCCCCGGCAAGAAGGGAATACTCTCCTGTGGGAGCTGCCCCTGATCTTCCTGGGAGGAAGAAGTTCCAGCTGCCAGGGGACATTTTAAAAGCAACCCCTAGCCAGGTCCACTCTGTTAAGGAAGTTTCCTGTTCCTTGCTTCCAGGCTCTCTATGATCACTTGATGGATTTCCTGGCTGACAGAGGAGTGGACAACACATTTGCTGACGAGTTAATAGAGCTCAGCACTGCACTGGAGCACCAGGAGTACATTAAATTCCTTGAAGACCTCAAAAGCTTTGTCAAATGCCAGTAGGGTAGGCTAGGAAACTTATCTTCAAGTGTGGGTATTCCACAGTGCTGCTTCATCCAGCAATGCCCAAATGTATCTTCGCAGTGGATACAGAGAGTAAGTAAGTTGGAATTTGGAGAATGGGAGAACGAGGATTCCCACTTGTATTTGGGGATTTGTATTTATGTTGCAGCCCAGATCAAGTTCACTGACGTCACAGTCTGGAATTGCCTTGCCCTGCGTGGTGGGTTTTGTACAATTAAGAATGAATGTGAAGAATAAAAACTGTTCAACATATCACTGAAAAGGGTGGTTTCTCTTCTTCCTGCCATGAAAGTGATGCCAGTGTTTGTCAGCTGCAAACTTCCACTCTGAACTGGTGCTTTCAGTTGTTGCCTCAAGTTTATTTAAGTTTAAACAGCTGAAGTCCAAGATGAGCTGTAAGATCACTGGTACAGAGTTAAAGACAACACAAAGGCCAAAATAAACTAAATATATTTATTTCAAAATAAATGTGCCATTAAAAGTGCAGGTCAAGGCAATACTACTGCCTTTAAAAGTGTCTCTCTGACACAGCAGGTACAAGTATATACACAACAATCCTTAGCAGCTCTGTGTGGATTTTAGTATTGAAGTCCCTCCAGAAGTAAAGCAGCAGCTGAATCAACTTAGAGGAGAATTGTCCAGGAGTCACAGACCTTTACAAAAGGTAAGGTGAACAGAGAAGTTATGTTAATGTGTAAACTTCAAAAGTATCTGAGCAGGAAGAACTATTCAAAACTTGATTAGGAAAAAAATTCACAACAGGGCTGTCAAGCACTGGCAGAGGCTGCCCAGGGCTGACCCCTGGAGGGATTTAACAGACATGGATGTGGCACTTGGGACATGGGTTAGTGGTGGCCTTGGCAGTGCTGGAACGGCTGGACTTGAGCTAAGGGGTCTTTTTCCAACTTAAACAATCCCATGATTCTATTTAAATGCTCTGTTCCTTTCACTGTCCTCACACTGGTTTTCCATACACAGCAAAGCACGTGCCAGCTCTGGCTTGAGCCAAAAGGGCTGGTGTGTGTTCTCTAAAGGCTCTGGATGAACCTTTTGAGGAGGCTTAAACTGCAGTAATTCTTAAAATTTGTTTCTTCATGAACCACTTATCTGAACAGATGCTCCACACAAGACTTGCAGGTTGTTGGCTAAGGTGTAACAAAGGTAAGGCACTAAGTTTGACAGGACCTTGAAAGACTCCCTAATCCAGCAGTTAAGGTGTGTACTTTGGCTCTTCTTTCTCTGCTTTTTTACCAGTACTGGTGGTCAAAGGTAAAGCCATTTCCAAGGAATTTTGTGAAAAAACAACCCCATAAACCCCTGGGATCAATGGACTTGTGGTTTCTGCCCCTGTAATTGAGAAGTGGATCCAAGCAGAGATCCTCTCCAGGAACCTGACACTGGGACTCACCGGACAGCTCATGAGAAGACTGGTTTCCTCCTCCATGCCACTGGTCACTGTGAACTCTGGGCTGTGGAAGCACCTCTGACTGTGCTCTGTCACAGTGCTTTCCAGGAGTGACCGAAGCTTCCCTTCTGTCATATCCTGAGAATAATGGGTTAAAAGTCATCTGAAGTTGCTCTGTCACTTAAACTGCTTCTTAAAGCAGCAGCAGAGGTGTCACATGTAACATGTGACACATGTAACATGTGACAGCTCAGCCTACCTGTGTGCTGATGTACAATCCACACTGGCAACAAACCATGTGAGTCTTCACAGTCAGGTTATTCCTGGAAAGAGCAAAAACCCTGTTAGATTTAGGAGATCATTGCTCTGGTGTTTTTTATCTTGTTAAAATGAACAGCAGCTTCTCTTCACTCTCAGGGGAGTGGAGGATCTCCTTCCAATGCCAAGGGCTTTCTTACTTCCTGCACACGGGGCAGATGATCCTGTCAGTGGCATCCAGGCCCTCCAGCATGGCATTGAGACACTCCTCATCAAACTTCAGGCTCCGCTCGTACTCCTCGATCACCAACTGCTCTGCAACAGCACAGCAAAACACCCTCAGGGACTGTCCTGGCAGCACAGGCAGAGCTGCTGGGCACGCAGAGCCCAGGGGAGATAAGAGTTTCTAGGAACTTTTATCCCTTTGGATCAGATTTCTACACTTGCTGAAATAATTCCTGCTAATCCAGTTTTTCCTATGGCTTGGCTGGTCTCATGTGGGTCTCTCCCTGAATTGATTTATACAGCTCCCAGAGACGTCAGTCCTGCTTCTCTGGCCTCTCTCACAGACCCTAAAATGTCATTTAAACCCTTAAAAGGGTCTCAATACCTCAAAGCCTCAACAGAGAAGTTACCAAGGATTTCTAAGGAGGCTCTTCCCCTGTGTCACGAGGTCTGCAAGAACCAAGGAGTGCAGCCTCAGCTATTCTGCATTACTAGGAAGTCTCCTGAATATTACACACCAAATAGGAATCAGAAAACTTGTAGAGCCCTTACCTTGCAAGATCAATTCTTGCTGGATCTCCTCCAGCACTGCCAGCTCATCGGGGTCCTCCGGCATCTGAAAGTGAATCAGTCAGTGATTCTCCCATTCCAACCACTCTCAACTTCCAGCACCTGACTGAGCTGTCACTGTAGCATAAATTCAGTCTGTTTGTATCCCTGTCTTGGCAAACCCATGTGCTGTGGAAAGCAATCCATTCTGTAATCACCTGTACAAACCCAGCCAGAACAGATCTGAGCACAGCCTGTCCAAGAACCTGCTTTTTATGTCGCTTATGTTTCGTTCCCATTCTCAGGAGAGGGAAGTGACACAGCACAGATGAGGAACCCACCCTTTTGCTGTGATTCGCAGGCTGTTTGTGAAGGAAATAAGGAATTCCCCACTCATGGGCCCAGAGGCACTTTCACAACTCAACACTCTGCACTGGTTGTGGAACCAGGAAACCCTGAAGCTCTGAGTTTGTCAACTCCAGCAAGAGACTGAATGCAGAACCGCAGAGTATTTGATACTCCTGCCTCTCACACAGGCCGTGCGTTGGTGCTGCAGACCCAGCGGGAGCCCTCACTGACCTGCTCCAGCGGCTCCTGTCCCCGCGGGCCGGGCAGGCTGTCCCGCAGCTCCCGCCACTCCTGCTCCATCACCTCCTGCACCAGCAGCGCGCCCGGGGCCGGCCCGGGGCGGGCCCCATCCCCGGCCCGGCGGTACCGCTCCAGCAGCTTGGCCCGGCTGCTCCTCAGCCGCTCCAGGCAGCGCTGGGGGACAGGGGAGAGAGCGGGGGGATCGTCAGAGCCGGGGGCGGGACACGGCGGGGTCCCGGGGAGCTGCACGGGAGAGGGTTGGCAGCTCCCACCAGGGGTGGGAGCAGCGCTGGGCACTCACAAAGGGAGTTCGGGACAGGGCTGGGCTGGGATTTGGGATGGGGTCCGGCTCACCCGGCCCGGCGGGTCCCAGGGGGAGCCGAACCGGGGCCAAAGGAGCGGGCAGACCATGTACCCCTCAAACCCGATCCCGTCCCGTCCTATGCCCCCGTCACCCAGCGGTGTGTCGCCCCCCGTCCACAAACCCCTCCCCTCACCCGGCGGTAGATCCCTCCCATTCTCTCCCTTCACCCGTCGGTAGGTCCTCAGTCCCGTTCCCCTCACCCAGCGGTAGGTCCCCGTTCCCCTCACCCTGCGGTAGCTCCCCCCGATCCCCTCACCCCGCGGTAGTTCCCGATCCCCTCACCCTGCGGTAGTTCCCGTTCCCGATCCCCTCACCCCGCGGTAGTTCCCGTTCCCCTCACCCTGCGGTAGCTCCCCCCGATCCCCTCACCCCGCGGTAGTTCTCGTTCCCGCTCCCGCTCCCCTCACCGTGCGGTAGGTCTCCCTCCAGGGCGGCCCGCCGGGGCTCTTGTACCGCGCTCGGTGCCGCTGCAGCGGCGCCTCCATCGCGGCGAGCCCTCCGCGCGCGGGGCACGCCGGGAAACGTAGTCCGCGAGGGGCGAGGCGGCCGCCGCGCCGATTGGCCGCGCAGGGAGGTGACGTCACGGAGGGCGGCCGCGGCCGGCGCGGCGATTGGCCGCGCGGGGCGGTGACGTCACGGCGCGGCGGGGGCGATGGCGGCGGAGTGCGGCTCGGCCGAGCAGTGGCGCGCGGCGCTCCCGCAGCACGCGGTGTTCGGCCGCCTCCGCGAGCGCGCGCCCGCCGGCGCCCCCCGCCCGCCGCGGCCCCGCGACCTCCTGTGCGGGCTTGGCGGGGACCTGCTGCTCTGGGACGGGCCCGCCGCCGCCCTGCACGCCATCGGCCTGCGCCGCCTCGGCGGGCCCGACCCTGCCGCGCTCGGCCGGTACCAGGTGCGGAACGGCGCTGGGGGTTGGGGAGGGGCGTGTGAAGGGAGAGAGGGGTGGGAGGGCATGAGGGGAGGAGGAGGGGGGGGTCGTGTGAGGGGATAGGAGGGTGTGGGAGGGCGTTGTGAGGGAAGGGGTGGCTCTGTGTGTGTGGAGCTGTGTGGGGAGGGCGAGTTGTGAGGGGAAGGGCAGGTGTGAGGGGATGGAGTGTGGGGGGGTTGTGAGGGGAGCGGGGGCTGTGGGGGGCGGTCTGTGTGGAGGGGGGGTCTGTGAGGGGAGAGGCGGGGTGTGAAGGCTGTGGAGTGGGGATGAGGGGACTGGGAGGGGACAGGGGGGTATGGGGAGGGAGGCGAGGGTGAGGGGGTGTGTGGGGTGTGAGGGGATGGGGGTCCATGTCCATTGCAGGGCTGAGGGGGACCAGCCCCTGAGGGCCCCCGGCCGGTTCATCACCCCCCGACCCACCCTCGGTGGGTCTGCCCTCAGCGACCCCGCGGCCGTGGGGCCGGGCTGTGCCTCGTTCCGTGCCGTGGAGCTCGCCACCCGAAATACAGATGTGCCCTGCTTCTGCAGGCGCTTCGGGTGGCTTGGTGTTAACTGTGACGCTGATGCTTTCAGACCCTCCTGTGCATCAACCCGCCCCTCTTTGAGGTGCACCAGGTGCTGCTGAGCCCGGCCCAGCACCATGTGGCGCTCATCGGCACCAAGGGGCTCATGGTGCTGGAGCTGCCCAAGCGCTGGGGGAAGAATTCCGAGTTTGAAGGTGGGAAATCCATGGTGAACTGTAGGTGGGTGAGACCTCAGGTGGTTAATGACACCCTTGTCCTTGTCCTGCCGCTGTTCATCCACAGCATCCCTTTCTTGGGGTCAGACAGATACAGTGGAAGACACTGGTTGTGTCAGGGTTGTAGGGACTCATAAATGAAGTTATTTTGGCTCAGGAGCTTGCTGGTTGTCAAGTGACCCAAGTAAATGATCTCCTTAACTTGTTGC